CACTGTTGTCTTGACGCTCCGTTGCTGCGGAGCACGCACAAACTTCAAGGTTTCCCTGGGCATGTATTTGTTCCAAGAGACAAGAATAATCACCATCAGAAAATGTTGTAATATCAACTTGGATATCCACATTCTCATGGAATGAGTAACCTGAAAGATCACCAAAGCATTGTTTACAGAATGCGTGTACGCGGTGAGAGCTCGCGCTTCAGACTTACTGCGTGCACATTTTGGCACGGACTCAACTCACGCCGCCTCTCAGGCCCGTCGGGCAAACAGCCCTTCCTCCTTTCGAGGAGGAAGCGCGCCACATCAACCGCACACTTCCATGAGCCCTGGTTCATTTTGCCCGTGGCTGTTGCCACCTGCATGTTGCGAGTTTCACGAAAACAGCGCAGCGGCGCTGTCTTCGTGCTCCGACGGAGCATGTACGCTTTCACATCTGGGCACCGTGCGGGCAAGCTGAGAAGCTTCCGCCTGAGTCTCCGAACTTCTGGTCGCAGGAGCTCGGGGTTCTCAGTGTCCGGATGTTTGAAGCTTTTATGTTTAGGGTCCATGAGGTAACCTTCACACATCTTGCAACTGCTTTCTTAGTGATGCAGCTCAAGGCCGAAAGCTGCACGGCTCTGCCACAGCTGAGCTGTCGAAAAAAACATTGTTTACAGCGTCTTTTCGCTGTGTGTTGCAAGGAAGATCCCCGTCACTGAACGCCTCCCAAGCATCAAGCCGTTCCTTTAGAACGACTTGAATGTCTGGCCAGGCATTGCAATGTTACGAACCATGACATCCGATCGTGGTGAGAACGGCAGCAACACAAGTACAGTGCAATGCTGACTGCTGCTAGGGATTCGATGATGGCAAAAGGTTCGTTTCAGGCTGGGATGTGATAGGTCTATGGGCAGTTCAAACCAGGACTTCCTGCAACTTTCTGTGAACACGAGAGCACAGAGACTGGAAGGCGCCTCAGAAACATGGGCAACAGCCGCCAACCATCTGACAACAGGGCAAAGGAATTCATCATTCGCGCAACTCAACCGCTCTCCACCTCGAGATTCTGAAATTCGACTGAAATGGTTCAAAACGTCGGCAATGGTTTCAGATGTGTCTGACATCTGGCCTTCAGGAAGCCAGTGAGGAGGGCGCCCCAACCTCACCCATCAGACGGAGAATCCCTTGCCCCACGCCGGACGCACCGGCGTGGAGAGAAGGGACTCTGCCAGGCGGCCGTCGTCGCCATCTGTGCGTCGGTTGGCCTGCGAGGTCAGTATTGCATGGATGCAGAACGCCGAAACTGTTGTAACGGCAATGCCGACCTACTCTACCACAAGCACCTGTGCACCATCACCGTGGCATATGAATGTAAGACACTCCTGCTTGGATCTGAAACACAGATTGACCTGATGTCGAACCATCTCTCGACTCTAGCACGCCAAGCTCCGCAGCAAGAAGCATGCCCCAAGATGTGGAAGGTCTTTGTAGACGATGGATGCCTATGGTATGTACCGTAGTCACTATACAACCTAAACCGACGTGCTCATCCGGACTGTCCCAGCTTGAGCACTTTCAAGATGTTCTATGAAGCTGTCGCAACTCTGGCCTAAGAGCACAGAATGAAAGGTCTCCAGTACCAATCCCTTCTCCTCCCCACTGTCTTCATTCTGAAACCTACGATTGCTCCGATTCTACGTCGGTGCGCTTCCAAGAGAAAACCCATGGGAGCAACCCTCCGGGGCATGCACTAGGCGGGCTCACGGGCGCAGCATTGCGGCAGCGCGCCTACTCACTTCGGCGATTTTCCGGGTGTGTTCGGGGAACAACCACAGCACAAGCTGGCGCGCAACGATGCAAGAAGCTCACAGAATCCATCCGATGTTCCAAGCACCCCCTTGTTGGTTTCCAAAATTGCTTCCAATGGGCCGAAGAGGCACCGACATCTGGCGACATGCTTTGCTCGCATTCGTGCCTCCCAAAAGCGGCGCCGCTCAGAGAACACCTCTCAAGAAGGCTTCAAGAAGGTCGGGCTGCTCTTGCAGCAGTGTCCTGGTGTAAGGGAGGTACATCCGAGAATCTGAATTTCCACGTCTTGGGCCCCAGCCCTACAGTCCCAGAGTGAGTGAACGAAGTAACGAAGCCTAAGCTACGAAGTTCCAAATGCGCAAACGGCAGCCTGCAACGCTGGATCCACGGACATGATGGTGCACACAGGGCAGCGTATTAAAGGTCGAGAGGATTCTGAGCGCGGAAGCCAAATGCCTGCATATGTCCGACGATTTTCTTCTGCTCCAAAACATTCTTTCTGGGCTCTCCAAGACAAGGGGGCATCCAGCACTCTCCCGAGCAGCATGATCTTACGACGTAGAACGAGGGCCCCAAAGCCTCTGCAGAACCCAGAGCAAAGATTGGGCAACGAAGCACATGTGACGACACAGGATTCGGTCAACCCGGCTTCAGCTCCCGCTTTGCAATCTCGCTTTGGAATCGGGCTCCAAACGAAAGAGTGCGATTTCGCACACACAGGGCAAAAAGCATCGCTGGCATCGGATCCATTTCCAGCTGTGGAATTGATCCACCTGGTGGCCTGCTGCTGCTTATCACTCATAGGCAGATAGATTCCCAGAATAGGACAACACTACGTAGCTTAACAAAGTAGACCACACAGTGTTTCATAGGCGGAGTAGATAGCATAATCCTTCTTCGTGTGGATTTGTACGATGTAGTGCGTCGCACATCGTGTACTGGACCGCGAATGTCTCCTGCCTCTCGCACATCGGGCATCGTCACGTATGTGCAGTAGTGGTTGCGTACCACATGATGACATGGCGCAGCAAAGTACAGAAGTCTAGCATCGTAAAGTACAATATACGGTGTTCTACCATCCAAAAATGCAAAATACAGCGCAACATGGCATACTACAGTATCGTTAGTATGCTTCACTGTAGTGCAGCGCAGCATAGTGCAGTGCCAAAGAGTACAGGTGTAGCATGGCAACGTGTGTTGCGATAGTTAAGAGCCAGTTAGTTTTGCAACATGGAGGGCTGCGAATCAGCCCACAAGCCCTTTCAATCACAGATATGGCTTCTTCCCGAGTGCGAAAGTCAGAGTCTGCCTTTCGTACTGATACGTGATACGTGTCATACTGATACAGCCCAGAACCCTGTCCTGCTGGGAATCTAGCCTCAGAAGTGCCCAGTCCGCTTCCAAACTTCCAGCGACGGGTGCACCAGAAAATCGGTGCTGCAACACGTTAAGCATGGAAGATGATGGCTTGGATGAAGTGTTTCAATCTGTGGCCGTCTGTTTAAATGCTACGTGCCGCTCACGTACAACATAACCGTGCTGACATACGGCATACATCCTAAACCGTCAAGGGCCCTAACTCCACAACCTTCAAGCAAACCATACTCATCATTTAGGGACTCTCAAACTGCACGTGAGGCGTCCGGGGGAGCTTCTCAACATAGGCTGCACTTGAGGATGCGCGGACAGTGGGAGAATACCTTTTTGGCTTTCAGAAGGGCTTTTTAAGAATTTCAGATGATTTAAGGACTGTCTTCGCTCGGCATGCTCCTTCTGCTCTGCCATGCCAGCGAAAGCTTCGTGGCCAGGTGAACACATGTAGTCAATCACCTTCCAACCGCGTTGCGAGGGTACATTATAGTCACTATTGTCTTTTCGATGCGGTGCTTCAGCATATGGAAGCTTCTACGGTGCTCCAGGGTGGGTCTCTGATAGTGGGGATCAAGTTTAGGGCTTAGGGGTATCTTGCTCTTGAAAGTCCCCAGGGCCTGCGGTTGGCCGAGAGCAGCGTCGCAGCTGACATCCCCAGGATGAGCGCCATCATTCGCCCCTTAAAACTGCCAAAGCTGTTGTATCGCATGCATGCGAACGTGGGGGCACTTTGGGCCAAAATGAAGCGTTGGGATGCAAGGAGTGCTTGTGTCGGCTGGTGATCTGCGGAACACCAAACCCTCTACCCGTTTACCCGGCTCATCTGGCAGCAGCTGTCAGTCTCTTAGCTGGTCCGCTTGAGCCAGGTGCTGACATGCCACATGGCAAGACAAGTTCCGAAACGCTCGGCATCATCGATGCTAAGAGGCACGGCAACGACCCGGACGTCATTGAAGGGCAAATCTTTTCCGGCTGGAAGCAGAAGGCAGCTGTTCTGCTTGTCGCTTCGCATTGCCTGACAGGCCAACTTGCAGTATATCCCAGCAACCCGTGCTTGCATGCACAACTACTGTAGAAAGGCCTGCTCAAAACTCACATCCATCAGAGCCTTCAGTCTGTTGCAAGCATCACCACATCACTCATCACCCATCATCAACCCTCCTTCTAGACGGCTCCGGCCCCTGCTGCCGAAGCGGTCAGAGGTTCCCACAGAGGGTCCCCGTTTCTCCACCTCTTAATCCCTTCCCTCCTCCATAACCCATCCCCCCGCCCCTTTAAAACCCCCCCGCTCCTCCCCCCACTCCCTTTTCATCCTTCCCTCGTCTCTTCATTGCGGCGGGCGAAGCAAGACAGGCTAGCTTACATCACTCGTGAAGATGATGATTCTGGGGCTGTGTCTTGTACCTCGTTGCGGAGCTTGATTCCCCGTTCCCCTGCCAACCAATGGGAGGTTGTAGTGAGAAGTGTAATACGACTGTTTAACATTACTGGAAGCTTGCCGTGCTGCAATAAGAGGCCAAAGGCAACAAAGCCGATCTCCTCTGCAGCCGAGGAGCACGGGGAGCACTCATTGAAAGCAAAAGACCTGGCGACCTGAAATCGAAATCCAGTGCAGTCTGTTGCACATGTCTGGTGCTAACCTTTACCAGGATACGTTTAGTGGAGCCGGTTTACACTCATGTACCACTAGTCAATAGTATCTACAAAGAACCCTATATGATGCGACCCGCTAGCCTGGCCGCCTCTCAGGTCATGAACCGTGGGACCTCCCTCGCATCTTGGGAATTGCCTCTCGTCATAGGTCAACGAAGCAAGACCAGGCCGAGAAACCTTCATCGACGACAGGGCTGGCTGCCTGGTATCTGAATTGAGGTATGCAGGGTGTTGGTGAGCTCAACATGTCTCGCTACGAATCATGCTTCTCGTGTCGTCCTACAATGGAGAAGCGACTAGGGCTGTGAACACTTTGCAATCAAACAAACGGGCCGTTGCTCTGTAAGCCCTGTGTTTGCAGACCCGGTCCTTGCAGATAGCGAAAACCGCTCCCTTCAGGGAGAGGAAAAACGGTTTCACCTCGGCTTCATTCATGCATTTCACTTGTTTCGGTGCTCGGTGGGACTTGCCCGGTGCACAGCCACTATGCAGCTATGCATGATGCGCCACCGATTTGTCTTCCGAAACGTGGCTCAAACACTGAGTACAAACTGGAACACTGTGCACATGCATATGTGAACTGATGAGCTTAGATACATCTACCGCTGCATCACGGCAGGCGGAATGACAGTACCCTGCCCCCAACTGATGGATTGTTCGGTGCCACCTGTTCAGAGATTAGAAGGCGATACAGTCTGTTCGCCCGCCCAAGCACAACTTCTTTGCTCTGCTGAAGCTTGACCACTCGGACTGCCCGGCACGGGCTCGCTTTACTGTCTTGCCTGGGGGGCGTCTTTGGAGCTGGTTTGGGCAGTCGCAGCTTCAAAAAATAATATAAATATTTCTATATACAGAACGCGTCCAGGAATAGGGAGAGAGAGAGAGCGCGAGAGAGAGAGTAGATTCCGGCACAGTATAGGTATAGACAAAGATATAGAGCGTGCCTGTCATCCCTAGGCTTCTTCTGCACAATGGGCAGCACACCTTCATCTCCAGAAGAGCTTTCGTGGGTGGTCTGCATGTTGTGCTTCAGCTTCGACTGTGCAGGTCTCGTTGCCCCAGGCTTTCTTGTGCTGCAGATGTGCTCTTTACCTGTAACTGTAACTCTTGACTAATATTGGCAGCACGACGGCTTTGCCAACCCTACACAGGCTTGTTCTTGGCCTGTCTTCTTTGCAGCTGGTCGACTACTGTGCCTGCTCAGCCTTAGCTGCTTAACCCGCCTTAGTTGTCTTAGCTCCTGGTGGCCGCCGACCTGCATTCACATGTTCAATCTGGCCCCATTTGCTCTTCGCTCGTCAGCTGCTCATCTGCTGTTCTTCTGCTTGCAGAACCTTTATGTTTCCAACCCTGGGAGCACTTTGTGACATGTGCTCCGTCTGGCTTGCAGTGCATCTGATCTGCCCAAGAGATCTTGTGAACACTGCGCATTTGTTCATTATACCGGTTCGTTGCACTTGTCCTTGAAGGTCTGGCAAAGCTTGGCATGATGAATTTGTTGCCAGCCTTGCTTGGTTCGCATCTCTCTGACCGTATCTTGTCTGCAAGGTTTCCTGTTGGCCGGCTGCCGCTCCGGCTACCTTTAAGCCAGAATTGGCACGTGTCCCCGAAAACACTTACGATAAGTGCGACGGAAAGATTGAAGGACCGGCCCATGCTCTGACTTCCCAGGTGGCCACGGGCGTCTGCGCAGCGAAATGCCCCAAACTGAAGCAAGCAGCTGGGCGATGTCAAAGTCGGCATCGCGGCAAGGGGAGACTGCGGTCTCCACACAACAGCCTCGCGGCCATGTGAAATCTGCCAGCATCTTTCCACAGGCTCTTGCATACTTCAGCCTCTCTGCGCTGCGTGACGATAGGCGAGGCCAACCTGACCAAGAATTCTTAGACTGTGAGTAGAACCTCAGCGTGCAGGCAAAGGCAAGGCTGAAGCGCTGGCGTCCTGCAGCGAGGCTCTTGAATCCAAAGGTCGGCAACCTGAGATGCAGCAAACTGCAAGCCTTGCTGAGATTTTTGCCTATCTGGTGGCGGCAGGCTTGCGATGTGCAGCCGACTATCCAGACAGAAGGGCTGTCCCAGGATTTTGATCGGCATGACTACACTTGCAACCGCGCCTGCGCTAGTCCGCTAGTCGTAAAGAGTCGATGGATATCCGCGGCAGCCCTACACTTGCTCCAGGGCCATAGATGCACCTGGGCCCTGGGCAGGGCCTGGCACCACTTACGATATGGTGATGGGACTACTACTTCTGATAGCTTCCTCTCCTTGCTGTCGTAGCCCATCTATCCTTTCCCCCTCGCAGCTAAGGCACCTGTGCTGTCGGACGAGGTGACCTCGACAGACGGACTGTGTGTGCAAGCTGCACCTGTGAGGCTCTTCCTTGAGACGGCAACCTCATCGCGTCTAGCCAAACGGTGTTGCGGTGATCGTACACTGGCGATCCTGGCAGGCACGAAGCAAGTTGGATGTCAAAGGAAGTTCTGAAGCCGCATGTGGCAATGCTGGCTAGGGTCGTGCCATCGGAGAAGCAGTACGAGTCGCTGGCAACATTGGGTCTGCGACAAATCGATGCTCCACACGCGCTCTTGGCGGAGGTGAGCTGGCACCATCGAAGCGAGATAAAGACTTGCTCCGCGGTGAGAGGTCCATCCATGCCGTTCTCGGAGTTATGGGGCTCGGACTGGCCACGGCTTGAAGGGCTTGTTGGCAGGACTCGCGCGCCCTCGCCGCCAGATCCGCCCATGATTGAGTTGCTGCCACTGGCTGGCAAAGCATCCTGTGAGTGGCAGTTCCAGGGGTGTCCAAGGTGCCAGTCGAACTCTGTAAACTCTGCCTTTCCAGGGCATCGCAGCGTGCATCAGAGACTGAGTTCGCTTATCACTGATTCAAAAGCTGACAAACTCTTGCGAAGCCTTGGGCTGGCAAGAAGCTGCTGAGCACTGGGAACTGCTGGCAGCTTGTAGCCGTAACTTGCGTAGCGTGGAATGGTGGGAGCGGGACTTTGGCTCCGTCGACTCCACGTGTCACTCGCAGCCGGCACCACCGGTACCCACTGATCCGGCTTGCACCGCCTCGAAACAGCAGAGCCGAACCGGAAGGCAGCTCGATTTTCAAGCATGCAGACATACGAATGATGAAGTATGATTTCGCAGCCAAGGTGCTGAACTGCCTTCACCTTCGCAACAGCTGCCACGGCGGCCACCACAGCTGTGCTTGGACTGGATGCTGATCTGCCCAAGCCAAAGACTACTTCTTGCATCTTTGCAGCTCAACGGCACCTCACGCTACACGCCTAATCCGGCCGCTTGCACCACCTTAATTTGGCGATAGCAACGCTGCCTCATGACCTGACGAACGCTCGCGGGAAGCGTCTGTCGGGGAGTTTCCTTGGCAGAATCTTCTATGCAAGGTGGTCACACCATCTCAGGCTGCAGTCTCTTATGCATGGTAAACAGGGTAGAACCTAGATGGTGCTGAGCTGCGGCCATCCACACGGTAGAGGCTACCTGACGCATCCTGAGGCAGTGAAGACGGCTGGTGGCATCAGAAGGTGCTGATGCATTCAGCAGATTTCAGCAGACCCCTTCCTAGGTTTCAGGCCCTTGTCTTTGCAAGATCTGAAATGTGTCCGAAGGGGTCGCGGTGTCCTGAAGCGCAGCAGCCATGTCTTGCAAATTGGTTGAAAACTTTGCGTGGAACTGCCATGTCACTCGAATCGTCGATCGGAAGAATCCTTTGTCCGAAATCCTCGAATCCTCACATGCCTTCACCCGCGGAAGTTCGACCTTCGCGACTCGGATCCCTCCAGGAATTTTGCCAGCATCAAGCACGGCCGCACAAATCCAGGTGTCTAGCTGCTGTCTAGCTGCGAGTTTCACCCTGCGTTTTGCTGAGTACTTACAATGACTAGAAAGAGCAATCGACATGTCCCGCGCTTGTCCTGCGGGGGTGGGCTCGAAATCCTTGTGGCCTACCAAAGATTCGGTGCAAGAAGCTGGTGAGGAATGCACAACACGCATTTACACCCACTTCAAGTAGCTCGCCGACTCGTGTCAATAGCATGAGACTGCGCCACCAGTCAGCACCAAATTGTTGCTGCTGCGGTGCAAACAGGTTGGGGTGAATCAAACGGTACTGACCACAGCGCTAGAAAAATCTGCGAAAGCCCGGGGCCCACCTGCACCTTTGCTGTCATTGATACGGAGCTTGGCCGATGCTGAAGTGTAGCAAGCTCTTCGACTGCCTGACTCGACGGAGGCACCTCAGCAGGCCAGGAAGGCATGCCAGCCTGTGGCAAACCCCGCGAGCATGTGCCGCGGAAGGCTCAGAAGCTGCTAAGTCTGCTAAGTATTATGCAGACTAGACCATGCCGCAGTGCACTACACTTTGTACTGTACGTTGTATTGCCATACTCAGCATTGCTCTTCTACACAATTTACTAATCATCATACTATATACCATATTAGATACCATATACGGTGTACTATGTACCACTTCTATACACGATACGATATTTTTCTGCGCTGCACACTGACTATTTCCCTCCACTATACGCTATGCTTTACACTATACTGTACAGAGGCCAAGAACACTTCAGACTCCAAGATCTTGGCCACTTGTCGACGAAGTGGAATCTCCGATGAGCTTCCCGTTGCTTCAATCGTGAAGCGGTGCTTGGGATCACCAGACCTTGGGAAAGAGCGGCAAAGAAGCACACACCACCAGGCAGGCAACCAGAATGATCTCCAAGCGACGGCGGAGTTACATCATTGGATGACGTGGCCCTGCAGCTCGGCTACATGCTGGCAGGCTGCAAACGGTCTGCTTGTTTCGAGGAGCGATCGGCTTAAAGCAGCAGGTCCAATGTCGAAATCGGAAGCTCGTGTGTGGAGCGGTAGTTCGAGCCGCTGCCTCGGCGATGTCTTGGCTCGAGTCTGCCCTGCCTGACAGGAGGGTCTTGCTCTTTGTAGTTCTCCCCTTTTTTCTGGGGATGGTATGCGTTGACCTTCCCGTCCACACAGCCGAGCCCACCCGACCCAAAAACGCCCCAGTGCATTACGTCATTTCCGAGTTCATGCCCGGGCAACATCCGGAAAGTGAGTCAGCTATACTTCAGACCACATGACCGCGCCTAGCAGTTCATGGACTCCGTTGCAGCACTGGCTTATACTGGCTTATCTCACTCGCACACTGCGTCTCACACCTGAAAATATAGCTGTGCTCCTCGCCTCGCCTGACCTTACCAACTTTACCACTGCACAGTGCAGCGAGAACCGGAGAGCGCAGAAGAAGGTATGTTCTTAGCACAGCTTGTCGTACGACATCGGCTTTGCTGTGCTTCGCCAAGACCTGTCGGAAATCACCCCGCAAAGCCTAATGGCCCTGATCATCTCCAAAACTCAAAGGAAGCCTTGCTGGCACAGGCCCTGCACGACATGACTCCACCCGGGCAGTCAACCGGCTCAAAGTTTTGTTACCCCAAACTGAAACTCAGCATATCCGCGAATCTGCAAGCTGCGTCGCTTGCACCTCTTGTCGCTTCCTCTCCTGCTCCATCCGTGCTGTCTCCTGCGAACGGCTCTCGCTCTCTAGAGTCTCTGTCCTTGAGGATCGCTAGAATCTGGACATTCATTGCCGTTCTAGCAGCTAGCAGCTCCCCGTTTTGAAGCTCCGAAGTCCGTGCTCCATCGCAATGAAGCAACGAAGCCTTTCTTACTGCTGGACGGCCACGATGCCAGCCTCTTGTTCTGCACGGGCGTTCGCAGGAGCCACCCCTTCCTGCGACTGAGGTACCACATGATGCATACCTTGCTGCATAATTACAGGGCACAAGCGTGGCGTGGCCCACCTCTTGTCTGCGCATCTCCTCTGCTGCATGCACTAAGACACTAAGAATAATTCCAATCCAGGAGTGACCAGCCACCGCCTGCTCTGCGCAAGCCTTCCTCAAAGCTTCCTCCTCATGCAGTCGACACAAATTAGAAACCACGATTCCCAAACTGCGGCGAAACCTCTTTCTCGGCGCGGACCCTCTTCAGCCCCTCCTCTTCCTGTTCAATGATAAGGACTATGGCCCATGGCGGCTTGGAGTGAGCAGTTGCCGGAGCTCTCAATAGCCGCATGCCACGCGCCTCTCGCCGCCGCCTCTCTTCCTCTAGTGTCGCCCTTTCCTACACAGGGATACCATGCACGGCTCAAGTGATCGCCTCAGCTGAAAGACTGCAACTCTCCTCAGCCTCTGCCTTGGTTTGCTCCTGACACTGACAGCGCGCATCGAGACTGAACCAAGGAAGCACAGGCACCCTCGACACAGAACCAGTGGAGTCCAGCATGCTGCTGCTTCTCCCAAATGAATCCGTCTACAAGGAGGCACCCCACCCCGGCAAAGGCAGCGCACCCCAATGTGATGCGCCAATCTGCGACAGGCACCCCAGGCTAAGTGTAAAGGTGGCGCATCTGCGGCGGCACGCTTTGAAACATGCGCCAACACAGGGAAATGCGCGCGTCGCGCAGGGCATCACTGCATGTCTAAATTATCGAGTCGACGCTCTCCAAAGCAGCCCACACCGTTCACCCCCAAACCCTCACAATCATGTAGACGCGCGATGCCACATGCCGGTGGCAATCAAGCACAACAAGAAAGAGCCATTCTTCATGTCAATGTAGACGCCGGAGTTCGCACCACCCGCTCCAAACACACATCCGTGGCAGCACAATACATAAAAGGCAACCATTCTCCGTGTAGACGCTGGATGTCGCAAGCATGCGCCCAGGCGGCATACTGTAAACCCCGAATGTGTATTGCCCTCACGTCACGTCTTCAAACCTGCAATGCACAAGCTTACTACCCTCACGGCTCAAATCTGGAAAACACGCAAGTTACTGCCCACCTCTTGTCTGCGCAGCTCCTCTGCTGCCTGCAGATAATTGCAGAACAAGGCTTTGCAGGTTTGTATGTTGGAGGTCCAACAGCACGAGGCCACGAAAGTGGAGACTGCAGTCTTGGACCTCGTTTCGCTGCGCCTCCTCCAAGCGTGCGTTCTCCTGCGTGCCGGGGGTCGAGTCAGGTCCGTGCACGATGTAAGCTGTACAGAACGTCTTCGTTCTTCCGCTGCGATTGACTCTTCCTCTGTGCGGGCCCTCTCGAGCGCCTCCTCTTCCTGCGAAAACGAGCAGCCACGTCCATGACTCCGTGCCCGAGCAGGGGCTATGTTGCGTACCTCTTGCCGACGCCTTTCTGCTTCTAATCGTGCCCTCTCCTGTGCACAGGTACCATTCGCGAATCGCTTCATCATCTACCCGGGCTGACACGCACCTCCTCTGCAGCCTTGGCGTGCTCCTGCACGAAACTGTGGGAAGCAAGCATGCATGTCGAACTGGCGAAAAGGACGGCAGCAGTTGCTGGATGCCTACTGTACCTCTGTAAAGCACGTGCTGCCCACCTCTTGTCTGCGCATCTCCTGTGCCTGCAGCGGGAGGCCATGATTGCAAATCGTCGGTCTATGACAGACTGCAGGATGCCTACAGACCACAAGTGCCTCTTCCTCGGCGCGGGCCCTCGCGAGTGCCTCCTGTTCCTGCAGAAGCCACGGGACATCAACTCATGATGATGCCGCACACTGCACTCGCATGCGCCTCTCGTTGCCGCCCTTCCTCTGCTGCCTGCATCCGGTTTAGACAATCATGGCATAGATCAAGGAGCACACAGCCACCAAATTCAAGACTGCATTTTTGCTGTCATGGCACCGCGTGTCTCTTGCATGAATGCGGGTGCTGAACACCCAGTCTATGCATCACTGCGAGGCTACCAAGCCACCAGCTCGGCAATGCTGCTTTTCACTGCCACCTAGAGTACAAATGGTAGTATGTCTGGTCCATGCCTTCCTCGAAGCTTCCTCCTCCTTCAGGCGACACACATTTAGAAACCACGCTTGCGCTGCAACGCAAAGATCTTGCAGATGCACCTCTTGTCGTTTCCTTTCTTCCTGCATGCGTGCACTCGCACTCTATCGCTAAGGAATCTTGCAGCTCGACAATGAAGTAACAACCGGTTGCTGCAAGCGGAGCATCCAAAAATCTGCACATGTCTGCCTCCTTGTCCGCACGTGCTCTTTCGAGCGCCTCCTCTTCCTTCTCAATCGAATCGTTCGGAGTGACCAGTTGCCCTAGCTCTGGACTCTCAACTGCCGCATGCTACGTGCCTCGCGTCGCTGCCTATCTTCCTCCAGTTGAGCCCTCTCCTACATACGGACATCATGCCCGACCCGCTCAAGTAATCACTTCGGCTGCAAACGCACGCCTCCTCCTCTACCTTGGCTTGCTCCTGCCACAGTCTGTAAGCACCGTCAACATTAACACTGAACCTAGCACTCGTCGCACATGCCAACTGACAAAGAACGAGTGGATTGCAGCATGTTCCTAACCTTGCGGTTCTCCTCTTGTCTGCGCATCTCTGCAGCCGCCTGCATCTTTACACAATGAAACATAGATTATGGTGGCGTGGCGGATGCATGCCAAGCCGTGAGGCCACCAAAGTGGAGACTGCAGTCTTGCATGGGACATCATGGAACCTCCTGTCGCTTCCGCTCCTCCTCCAGGCGTGCGTTCTCCTGCGGTTTGCAACGCAGTCTAATGTTTTGATCCTTGCAAAGCTCGGGGCGCAAGGCTTCGTTCTTGCCCACCAGGACTGCCTCTTCCTCCGCACGGGCTCTCTGAAGCGCCTCCTCTTCCTGCGGAAGCCACGAAAGATGCGACGCCCTCCCGCCGCTTCGCTGAGCGTTAACGATGACGTCACATACAGCACGCGCACCTCTTGCCGTCGCAACTCTTCTTCTAGCCGTCTTCTCTCCTGTGCACCGTTCATGAAAGCTGAGACACCAAGCATGGTCTAAGTCCAGCTACAAAAGAATCTCCTCCTCAGCCTTGGCTTGCTCCTGCACGACATGCTCTGAGCATTAGCACTGACTATAGCCACTATAGTAGACTTGAGACCGAGCCAGTGAGCATGCCGAACAAATGCAAACGACAGCACTTGCTACACCTACCTCGATCGGTAATGCACATACTGCCCACCTCCTGTCTGCGAACCTCTGCTGCCTGCATCTGGTGCACAGGACATCGTTCAAGAAGCACGCGGCCACTGAATTGGTGACTGCAGTGTTGCGGTCATCGCACCTCCTCTCTGTGCCTCTCCTCCTCCTCCAAGCGTGCGCTCTCCTGCTTCAAAGCGCAGCCGGGCGATCTGAACTTCACGACTTTACGAACTCCTCTTGTGAAACCCCAGCACACTGCGAGGCTAGAACAAACAAGGGTTGGAAATAACTACTGCTCTTCGCTTACACTGTTTGCCAATCTTGCACCCGCACCTGCTCAAACTCTACATAAATCATTTGGAATGCTGCACCCTCTGCCCCAAGTCTGGGACTTCTTCGCTCAGTCCGGGTGCATACCCAAATCAGTTTTGGTTGCTCACTTTCAAGTTTCAAGCTTCGGAATCAAAGGCGACGTACAAGGTCATCGCGCATCTGCCGCTGCAGAACAGCATGACTGCAGATGGCTTGCTGCCAGCCTCTTGTTCTGCCATGGTCGCAAGAGCCTCCTGTTCCTGCGGCAATGATATGGAGACACAATTCACGGACTCCGTGCTGAGCGATGTCTGCTGCGCACCTCTTGGCGCGACTTTTCTTCCTGAAATCGCGCCAGCTCTTGCATGTTTGTGCCGGTACCATCTGAAGCTACCTTGCTACATCCGACTAGTGTGGACAATAAATGTGACCCACGCTGCCCACCTCTCGTCTGCACCTCTCCTCTGCGGCCTGCATCTCTGCACCATCCTGCACCCGCAGCTGAAGATATTACGCGCCGACATCTGATAAGTGAATGATACCAGCCCAGGAGAAGCTTTCAGCAGTCACCAGCAAACCACCGCCTCCTCTGCACGGGCCTTCCTCGAAGCTTCCTCCTCCTTCAGGCGACACGCATTTAGAAACCACGCTTGCGCTGCAACACAAAGATCTTGCAGATGCACCTCTTGTCGTTTCCTTTCTTCCTGCATGCGTGCACTCGCACTCTATCGCTAAGGAATCTTGCAGCTCGACAATGAAGTAACAACCGGCTGTTGCAAGCGGAGCATGCGAACATGTGCACATGTCTGCCTCTTTGTCCGCACGTGCTCTTTCGAGCGCCTCCTCTTCCTTCTCAATCGAATCGTTCGGAGTGACCAGTTGCCCTAGCTCTGGACTCTCAACTGCCGCATGCTACGTGCCTCGCGTCGCTGCCTATCTTCCTCCAGTTGAGCCCTCTCCTACATACGGACATCATGCCCGACCCGCTCAAGTAATCCCTTCGGCTGCAAACGCACGCCTCCTCCTCTGCCTTGGCTTGCTCCTGCCACAGACTGTAAACACCGTCAACATTAAC